GTACCTCAGTCCCTTGACACTCTGATATGGTTCCTCAATTTCTCTATCTTCCTCTTACCTTGATTTTCTTTTTCTTTTTTCTTTTTTAGGAATCAATCCAGATACCTTGTTGGAGCAACAAAAGCCAAAGGCATTTGGTTTTTTTAAGCAAGATTTTGCAGTGCCAAATGACAGGGGAGGAAATGAATAGTTACATAATGTGCTGGTATAAGAGGAACCAAGATCACTTCCTGAGCGTTGTATATCAACAAGGAGATTCTGATGGCCCTGGCCTCCAGCACGCCTTTCCTGGTAGAGCTGATAATTCAACAAAACCAGTTCTCCCTGGAGATTCGCAAAGCCACAGTGAGAGAGGAGGGGACTAATAAGTGCCACCATGTCCATGGTGCTGCTCCTCTGCCTCTAGGTAGGGCACAAACTGAAGCCCACCCCTTCCACTTTCTGCATAGGTCAGCTGACCCCCAGCACACTCTCTCTTTAAATTTGCACAGACTGTTGAGGTGTGCTCACATGCATAATTTCATGACTACCAACAGCCACATGGGACAGTATTATCCCCATTTTATTGTCCAGGAAACTGAGGCCTGGAGAAGTGACTTGCAGAAAGAAGTGTGGAGTGAGATATAAACTCAGATATTCCGAGTTGAAATTCAGTGGTCTTTACCACAGCATAGCCTTCTCTTGACAACTAGAGTAAATGGTGAGAGAGGAAAGGGGATCCCCAAGTTCCAGAATCTCTTCCAACCCAGTCGTCTATCTAATATTCTCTCTGAGGCTTGTCTGAGAAGTAGGGTTACCCAGTCCCCTGTCCCTCTACAGTCTGTACAAATTTAAAGAGATAGAATGTGAGTTCAGGGAACTCACTTGAAGAACAGGGAAAGCAACACTCCTGCTCTTTTGAGGAAGTGAGGACTGAAACATGGATCAGAAGACTTGCTACCATCCCTTCTACCTCAAAATCTTTCATTCATCCTTCTGTTCCCAGCGAGACCCATAAACAGCTCCCTCCATCACTGTTTAATCTGTTGGTTGATTTACCTGGTACTCCCAGCCAGCACCCTGGTCCTGAGCATGAAATATTAACTACATCAGCCTCACAGCCACTGCTAGCCATCTTATGCTAACAGACAAGCATGAAGCATTCCTGACGGTTTGCGTATCAGGGTCCGCCATTCCTTTCTTAACCCTCCTCTGTCTGGTAAGGCTGAAGGGAGCAGACGCTCCTGTGATGACATGGCCTGTCTTTAGAACCACAGCCCAAAGAGCTGGGGTCCTTCCTGTGGCTATGGTCTCAGGAGCGAGCTCCTTCCAGCTCTTCTTTTGCTCTCGTGTGTAGTGGACAGCAACACGCTTTCAGGTCAGACATCCTGTGGGCAGAAGAAATCGTTTCACTCCCATGAGCATTTTTGAAAACCAGTATGAGTTCAGCTTTGGGGGGATTACACAGGAAATTAAAAAAACAGACCAAATAACAAGTGTGAGGCAGTACTTACAAATCGTGCAACATAATATACAATGGCAGTTTCCGACTTTCTACAAGTGAGGGGCTAAGGATAGCAACCTGGCTGGAAGATGCCTCAGGACCTTGCCTTGAGGCTGTATTTTCATAGCACATAAGATTAGGAAAAACATCAAAGAATGGGAGGCTGATGGAGATTATCAGGGGGAATGGATAAAGCCCCCCAAATCACTCACGCCTCTCCTACTAACTGTTCAAGCCTCGGGTACTGTCAGTCTTACGGCAGGGAGAAAATTAACAAAGAGTAAAGCAATGAACCAAGTACTTTCAGGAATAATTTTATTTATTTCTCACAGAAACCCTATGAGTTATCTTCCCCCATTTTACAGAATTTTAAAAAAAAAAAAAGTTCTTTCTAAAAGTCACATGAAGCGACTGACATATCCTTGGCAAGGTCAAGGAAATTGTGACCGAATTGCTAGCCTTGACACAGAAGGAAGGAATGACTGAGTACAGGGAACACGGTCTGCACAGAGCCTGAAGAGGGTGGAGTCCAATGGTAGTGCCCTGGCAGATGTGTCTACCTTCCGCCTGGGCACCTCGAAACAGGCTATATTTTTGTTCAAGTTCCATCTTGCCCCTGCCGAAGGCCCAGGCTAAGCTGACTATCCCTGACCAGGTGGAGCACTAGCCACGTTCTGCCTCATACTCCCACCAGATCATCACCTGTCCTCTCCTATGCTGTCTTCTACTCTGGCTTTGATTTATTGTTCATACCAGCTCTCTCTCTTAGGCCTAGAGGAAGGTTGTTTGGGGCCATTAACAATAAATTCTCAAAATTGCCTCTAACCTCTAGTAGGTGTAAATCACAGTCATAAACATACATAATACACATTCTTGGGACTTTTCAAAATGATTTCCTGAGTAATTTTGGATAGTGAGCCCTGCTAACGATTCTTTTGATATTAATACGACTTTAAGCCCTCAGTACTCTTCCTGTCTTGGGGCTTTTTAAAATATGTCTTCATTTCTTATGCAGAATGTTCTTTCCCTACACGGGCCCCCACCCCTGGTGCTTCAGTCAGGGTCCCAGCAGGAAGACAGAGGGCACTGTCCGGTGATTAGAGTATAATGAGAGGGACATTTACAAAGGTGTGGGCAGGTAGATGGCTTGAATTGTGTCCCCCAAGGAAAAACGTGTTGAAGTATAACTCCCAGGACCTTAAAATGTGATCTTATTTGGAAATAGGGTCATTACAGATGTAATTAGTCAAGAGGTCACACTGGAATAAGTGGGTGGGACCCTAAGCCAACATGACTGGTGTCCTTATAAGACAGCCACAGGGAGACAAACTCACTGGGAAAACACCATGTGAAAATGAAAGCAGAAACTGGAGTTATGCGGCTGCAAGTCAAGCCAAAGAACATCAGACTATGCCAGCAAGCCACCAGAAGCTAGGTAGAGGAAAGGAAGAATTTCCCTAAGGTTTCAGAAGGGATCACAGCCCTGCTGACACCTTGATTTCAGACTTCTAGCCTCCAGAACTTTGAGACAATAATTGTATGTCATTTATGTGGTACTTTGTTAAAGCATCTGTAGGAAACTAATACAGAAGAGTTATGGGAAATCTAAGGAAGATGGTGAAGCACCCAGGAACTAGCAACAGAGAGCCACTACCATCCTAGGCCTGAAGCATGGAGAGGAGGAGCCCTTACTACAATCTGTAACTGTAGGAGAGGAGCTGTGGCTTCCAGTAGTGGAAGGCAGCCACTGCCAACCTGCAGCCTGGCAGGTAGAAGTCTGTGATGATAACCTAACTCACTCTCCTTCCCTCCAGTGTCCTGAGGATGCCACCCATTAGCTAAGCCAAATAAGATGCCAGAGAGCAAGGGAAACAGGTGGATGCTGTCCATTAAGGTCAGTCTCCTAAAGTAAGAAGGAGAGTGAATGTGAAGGAGTAAAGAGACTCAGTCTCCACTGCAAAGTCTCTTCCTCAAGGAAGCCTTCCATAACCTCCTGACCAGACTCAGTCCCTGTAACATGCTCTCATAAGCCTTCCGCTTCTGCAGAATACTCATCACAGGTGCAATGGAGGAATCAATTATGCAGATTATTAAGTGATGATTGGCCCTGTTGCTAGAACATAATAAGCTCCATAAGAGAAAAGACCATGTCTGTCACTCATCAGTGAATTTTCAGGTCTGGCACATAGTAAGAATACCTAGATTTATAGGATGTGCCAAGATCTGGGTAACCTGATGTTTAAAAAAAAAAAAATCAAGCATATAAGTCCAAAGAGGTTGTCCTTGGCAACTTTCAAAGAGCTATAGAGAATGGGTACCATTATGTTATACAGGTGGGTACTGACGGTGCAATTTAGAATATCAGAGAATGTGACCACCTTGAGTACTTGCTAACAGTCCTCCGGGAGCCATGAATAGGATGAGCAGTTGGGCAAAGTGAGGTAAGGCAGAGGTGGATGGGGACAGCAACCACCATGGGATCAAGCACACTTGAGCTGTTCCTATCTAAATTTTTTCAGGGCAGTCTGGTCCTAACCTCACTGAGGAAATCAAGAAAGCTTAGTGGGTCACTCCTCCACTCACACAGGGATTTAGGTCCTGGACCCATCCTCAGAGATGGAATGCCACCTTTATCCTTACTTTTTTTGCTTATGAAGTGACCCTCTTCCCGGCTGCTAATGCACACTCTAGTTCCCCTTACTAATTTAACTGTTTGATTTCAAATTTTCAAAGACTGTTGGTTTTAGTTCAAAAGCATAGGTCCCCAAAATCCAAACACTGCCCTTTTTTGAAATACATATAAATTTGAGCTATACTGAGTTGGGATATAGTGGTGGTTTCTAAGCTTTTTACGGTATTTTATTTTGTGTAACTCAACATCAGTGAACTAAGAACTCTTCAGAAAAGAAGATAGATTAGCTCAGTAAAGATCAGGAAACTCTGGCTCAAATTTGGAAAACAACATTCCATTAGCTTGCTCTTTTACACATGGGTAAATCACCTTTATCCAACTTTGCCTAGAGGGAGTTTGCAGTGAGCACAACAATCATTAAAACATCCTCAGAGTCTTTGTGCACATACTATCGATCTCCTCGTCTGATGGCTCTTTTGATTACAGCTGGAAATGTCAATAATTCTTCTTCTTGGTATTAACTGTTAACATCACCACATAGTGTCCAGTGTGTAAATCTAATTTGGAAATGGAACAACAATGTCAAATTTAACTCCCAGGGCAGGAAGCAGAAACCTTGTTATCAAATAAGCTGCCTTAATCTCCTTTCAGTTGGTCTAACTTACCACCTGGACCACATTATCGGTCTTGAAGGTAGCATTGTCATTCCACTAACAAGAAGCAAGCCCTGCATGCCTCCTGTGATTAGCAAGACTCCTCTGGAGAATAGAACAGCTGCCAACAGGGATTAGTTTCCTCAAGCACAAGTGAGTCACAGAAGTGTCAACTCAGAGGAGGAGCCAGCCAGAAGGCAAGCTGGGAGGCAGAGCTGTCCCTGAGTGAGCCATGCAGAGGTTCTGCTCCCTCATCCATCTCTCCCTCTTCTGGGCAGGTAAGGCAGACCCCAGAACCTCAACCAAGCAAGACTCAGCAGCAAAGAAGCATCAGGGCTCCTAGTTCTGGTACTCATGAGCAGTGTCCCTTACTCAATGATCTCAGACCCCAGTCCTCATTGAATCCTCTCTTGTGTCTTTTCTCTCAGGAGTTATGTCAGCCGTTGTGATGGTGCCTCAAGAACAAGCCGTGACTGTGCCTGTGGGAGAGTCTACCACCCTCAGGTGCTCCATGGAAGGAGAGGCAATCACCAGCTACTACGTAAACTGGTACAGGAAGACCCAGAGTAACACAATTACTTTCATATACCGAGAACAGAACATCTATGGCCCTGGTTTTGAGGACAGATTCCAGGGCAAAGTTGAGGTTGACAGCAACCAGGCTGTACTCACAATCCTTGCAGCATCAGAGACAGATGAAGGGTCTTATTACTGTGCCGGTGACTACCACCCTGCTTCATGTCTACTTCTGAGCAGCTCAAAAACAATTGAGATCCATGTAGAACAGCAGTTCCAACAAGATCATGATTTTATCTTTAATATGTAAAAAATGGAGGCCAGAAAAAGCCAGTGTTCCTGCCTTTCCTCCAGGCTCAGTTCCCCTTGGCTTGCCCATGTACTCCCATGGTGTGCAGAAAAACAGCCCCAGGTGGCGTGGCCCAGTGTGGGCAGAAGAGAGGAGAGATGGAGCCAAGGGAATGAATTGTAGCATCTACTGTAACAACTTTTTTGGAGCTTCATAAAAGATTTGGCCACAGACTCAACATGCTTAGGGTATAGCATAGATTAATGAGGCACTTTCCAAGGTACAACTGTGGGTGGCATCCAACTTCTCCCCAACTGTATGAACTGTGAACCTAGATGTTCTAGAGGAGAAGGATTGGAAAGACAAGGAGTCCCCGTCCTCTTCTTCAGCATCAGGTAGGTGCACTGCCTGTCATCTTGCCCAACATGGAGGGCAAAGTTCCATCTCTAGCAGTCTGTATTGTTCTGATGACTACTGAATATGGTATTCTGCCCTCTGTTCCATCTCTACCTTTTTACTTCTTTTCCATATGCGCCAGAAACAAAACAATGAAAAAAATTGCTTCTACTGGCACTTCCTTTTCCTTCTTTGGACGACAGCTCAATTTTTACTGTACTTTTAACAGAGTATCACATATTCTCACTCATAAGTGGACCCTGAGCAATTACCATAATACTACAAGAAAGAGATTGGCAGTAGTGGGAAACTGTTGGGGGAGGGGCAGCACACTTCATCAATAAGGGTATCTGATCTCAAGTCAGGGGAAGTGGGGACCAAAGTGAGGCCCAGACTTTACCTGTACAATGGCCATTTGTATACCTAACCCTGAATTCTACCCTACAGCTTTAAAATAAAAATTTTTTAATTTTTAATTTAATTTTTTTAAAATACTACTCTTTAATCTTGAAAAGTGTGTTTCTCCAGATTTAGATAATTGACAAGGCTCTCTATTCCAAGGATGAACCTGTGGCAGAATCAGGCCTTCCCTCTGGCCTCATCTAGAAAATCTGCCATTAACTTTATTAAATAGCCTCACTGGAATTTGTGGTGATGGGTATGTTCAGTAACTTGATTGTGGTGATGATTTCACAGATGTACAGGCATATCAAAATTTATCAAATTATGCACTGTAATATGTACAGTTTATTTCACATCAAGTATGCCTCAAAGTTGTAAAAATATTTGCTAAAATCTAAAATAAATTATTTAAAGCCTTGTTGGACTACTTCAGGCAATATCTAGCGGCTAGTTAGACAGATGTCTAAGGTGTGAAGTCATGGTTTTATAAGGCATGCAAGATAGATTTCTAGTAAGAAACCCAGTGAATCCTTCTGACAGAGACTGGGAAGAATGTCTTTGAGGAGAAGGAGATGAAAATATATCTGGACAAATCCATAAAACTGTACATTTGCTGTAACAATAACTAATATATGTTGAGAGTTTACTGAGCCAGATACCATTTTAAGCACTTTACCTATATCACATGGTTTAATCTTCACAACAACCTTATGATTCATTTTTTATCATACTCATTTTACAAATGAGAACCTTAAGGCACAGAAAAACTAAAAATACTTGCCTAAAATGCCACAACTAGTAAAGGAGGGCAACAGGTTTCGACTCGAGTCTGCACAGCTCAGGAAGACGGGGCACCCACAGAGGAGGCCCTCCCCAGGAGGTGTCAAGAAAAAAGGGTTATAAGGACTGTGTCCTCAGCATCAGACCTGCTCAAACTGAAGCTCCATGACCATCTGTCAAAAAACTGGAACAACAGAGCAATGGTCCCAAGTGACCTCTCAAGTGTTCTCTGAGATTGTGTGATCCTGACATAAGCTTCACCCTGTCTTCTAAAATCCTCTGCATCTCAAGAATGAAGTTCATTGTCCCCATTTCATACATGAGATGCAGAGGATTTCAGAAGACAGAGTGAAGCTTATGTCAAGATCACACAATCTCAGTTAGAAAACACTTGAGAGGTCATTTGGGACCACTGCTCTGTTCCAGTTTTTTGACAGATGGTCATGGAGCTTCATTTGAGCAGGTCTGATGTTGAGGACACAGTCCTTATAGTCCTTTTTTCCTGACACACTCTGGGGAAGGCCTCCTCTGTGGGTGCCCCGTCTTCCTGAGTTGTGCAGACTCGAGTCGAAACCTGTTGCCCTCCTTTACTAGCTATGGCATTTTAGGCAAGTATTTTTAGCATATGAGCAGCCAACAGATGCATGAAAAAGTGCTCAGCCTCACTAATCATCAAAGAAATGCAAATTAAAACCATGCTGAGATACCACTTAACCCCAGTCAGGATGGGCATCATCAAAACTCAAAAACAACAGATGCTGGAGAGGATGTGGAGGAAAGGGAACACTTTTACATTGTTGGTGGGAGTGTAAACTAGTACAACCTCTAGTACAACAGTGGCGATTTCCAAAAAATCTGCAAATTGACTTGCCATACGACCCAGCAATCCCCCTTCTGGGAATATACGCAGAGGAACTCAAATCACTCTATAATAAAGATACCTGCACATGCAAGATTATTGAGGCATTACTCACAATAGCAAAAACATGGAACCAACCATGCTGCCCATCGAAAGTGGACTGGATAAGAAAATGTGGTACATTTACATGATGGAATATTATGCAGTCATAAAGAAAAACAAAATTATGAACTTTGCAGCAGCTTGGATGGAATTAGAGTTTACAATACTCAGTGATTTATCACAGAAACCAAAGATCTGAGTACCACGTGTGCTCGCTCATAAATGGACCTTGAACATTTATCAAAATACCATAAGAAAGGGATTGGCAGTAGTGGGGAGAGACACATAACATAGATAAGGGTACCCACACTTTACCTGTATGATGACCACGTATGTACTTAACCCTCATTTGTACCCACATTTTTAAAATAAAATAATAAAAAAATTAAAAGTCTAATGATAAAAAGTAAATAAATTGCATTGCACATAGCTATTCAATCAATGTTACTTATTATAAAAAAAGCAAACTATAAAGTAGAACAATTGAAAAGATGGTGAACTAAATTACTGAACACCAACTAAATGCAGCCACTTTGCAGGTATGAACTCACTTATCCTTGTGACAACACAGTGAGGTCATTATTATCAGCTCAGTTTTACAGGTGGGGATACTGAGCTTCACAGAGACTGGACAGTTCGATTACAGAAGCAGAGCCAGGATCTGGGTCTGACTTGAGGGCTGACTGTCCTGGCACTGGGCTAGGAGCTATGGGATATACTCAAAAAATACCTTACCTCTAGCAACATCTCAGGTAAAGAATGGCTGGGAACAGGTGTGTGAAGTTCAGAGGATGCTTTTGACTCCTTGGCCATATTCCAGAAGAGAGAATGAGATTGGGGTATCCAACTTCTTCCACCCCCTCCTCTCCTTCCTTTGTTTTGAAACACCAATTGCAATTTCGACTTCCAAGCTGTTCTCCCGAGATGCCTGCCCCCACCCCCAGGCTGAAGGAGGACAGCTGCCACCCAGCCACTGCCACTTCGACTCCTGAGCATCACCCTGAGTTCAGCAGCTTTTCTCCCAGGATGTGTGGGAAATGAACTCACACATTCCTTTTTTTCTGATGCTTGTCAAGGGTAGTGTCTTATGGACTCCCTTCGAGTCTCTAGGGGTGCTCATGGATTCACTGTCTTTTCCACGGGTGTTATGAAAGCAGGGGAAATTCTATGGGCTTCTGTCAAGTTCACCCCATATATATATATACTGGGAGACAAAATATGCAAATCTGTCTCTTCCACTGTAACTGACTTATCACTTCTACTGAGGCAGCAGAAATGCTCAAGATCTGACAGCCACAGTTCTCCGCATTCAGAAATGAACAACAGGCACCAGAAAACACTCTGGTGAATTAAGGTGTAGCAGCCACTGTGCAAAGAATAGAAATTAATTTCTAACCAAACCTTCCCTGCTAGATAGGGTTTTAGCCCGCTGCTGTGTCTCAGACAATACGTGCTGACGGATAAATTTTCCAGACTGACAAGGTGAACAAACTCAGCATCAAGGCTTCTTTCCAACTCTTCAACACATTCCTGAAAATGTTAATTGAAATAATAGGATTAAACAGCTTAAAATTTTTTGTCAGTGTACTTTATTCATTCTTCCAGCAAATACCATCTCTCATATCTGCTTAATTTTTCCCCATAAGTAAATGTATCATTGTTTGATGTGCTATATGTTTTGCTTGTTTATTTATTTGTTGCCTGGCTCTCCACTGGAATACAAGATCCTTGGTGGCAGGGATTTTTGTCTGTTTTGTTCATTGCCTTCACTCCAGCACTTAGAACAAATCTGGTCCATAATAGCACTCAATAAATGTATTAAATGAGTGTGTGAATGAAAAGCACAGTGAATGAGGGCTACGTACTGCACTGTGCTGGATGCTGGGGACTCAGTGTCACATGAGGTTGGTGCTGGCTCTGCTCTCTGATGCTCTCTCCAAGCCTGATTGGTCCACTAACAAAAGAGGATTGACTGTAACAAGATTTTCTGAAGGGTTGATAATAGAGTACTCTAGAACACCAAATAACTTACTCCTGGAGAGCAGACATCATTGCTCCTAAATTCCTTGTACATCCCCCACCCCCCGCCCCATCGCAGGCGCAGAATGAAGAAGATGGCAGGCTTTCTCCTTTCTTCACATTTTCTCTCCTTTGAGTCTCCAGACCCCAAGCCCTGAGTCTGAGACTGTCAAGGAAAAAGTTAAACACTTGTACTCCATTTTACAAAGGAATTTTGCAAACCTTCTCTCTAAATAGAATGGCTAGCACACACTATCTCACAGTCAAAAGCCACAATAACACATTTTCCTAAACAGAAGAGCAATTCCTAACTCCCTCTCAGCCTACCATGACCATGGCCAAATGATTTTGGTATTCTTTAAGAATACAAAATCCTTTGGGGTCTCTTTGGGTTTTTTAGCAATTTACACATGCACAAACACATATATTCATGAACGGTAAGATTGTACAGTAGTACACATCAAATCCTGAAGGCACTCTCTGAAGGTGAGGCCCGGATATTCCAGGGCTCCCAAGGCAGCAGTCGGCCAGTGGAGCAGTGTGCCAACCACGTGCAATGCTCAGTAGGAAAAAGACCTGGTGACAGGATACAGAAAGACAAGCCAAAATACGGTTGCTCATATCAATTTTGATAAAGACAAGTTCTCAAACTCTGTTTAAATAAGAAATCTAATGGTCATGAGTTTCTTTTTTACCTGCATGGATATGGAAGGATAAGGAAGTTTAAATTTTCTTCTCCTGGCTTAAAGACAAAACCTCATGAGTATTTATAACTTGCAGAAAAAGAAATATCAGTATAAATATATTACTGAAGAAACAAATGATTAAGAAAGAAAACTGCCAGGTACAGTGGCTCATGCCTGTAATTCCAGCACTGTAATCCCAGAGGCCTAGGCAAGAGGATTGTTTGAGCCCAGGAGTTCGAGGCCAGCCTGAGCAACATACTGAGACCTCGTCTCTATAAAAATCAAAAAAATTAGCCAAGCGTGGTGGTGCATGCCTATAGTCCCAGCTACTTGGGAAGTTGAGGTGAAAGGATCATCTGAACCCAGAAGGTCGAGGCTGCAGTGACCAGTGATTATGCCACTGCACTCCAGTCTGGGTGACAAAGTAAGACCCCTGACTGAAACAGAGAGAGAGAGAGAGGATAGAAGGAAGAAAGGAAGGAAGGAAGGGAAACCAGTCCAAAGTATAGATTTTTGGAGATTAAAGTTGCTTTCATAGACTATAACAACATTTGTGTATTCATTCAATAACAATCTTTTAAGTACCCAGTGTGTGCCACGTGCTTTTCTAGACACATTAGAAATACAGCTCTCAGAAGCTCAGGAGCTTATATTTTAGTGGAAATAAATACAAAATAAAATAGGTAAGTAAAATACATGTTAGACGGAGATTATTGCTATGAATAAGAATAGCAGGGAGGCAGAGAGAGAGTATGTTGTCAGCAGGCTGAGGTATATTATAATTTTAAATCAGGTTGTCAAGAAAAGGCTACAATGAGAAGGTGATATTTCATCAAAGGCCTGCATGTAGGCAGGGAGCCCAATATCTGGAGCCTGGATATTTGCTGGACTCCCCTGTTAGAAATAACATTTTCACATATGGTCTTAAGACACATAATAATGCCAGTTTTTCTGTAGAGTGGTGGCAGGGGGGATAGGAAACAATTTTTCCTTCTTATCTTCTTATCTTGCTAAGGGCTCTTTCACCAGTAGTTCACACTTTCGTGTTTCAAGACCAAGTGATAGAATTCCATTAATTAGCACAAAGTGTGTCGGAGAGGACGGGAGGGTGTGGCAAGGACGCAGTCCTGAAAAGGTCAAAACTTACAACATGAAAAGGAAGGTGGCAAAAGTGATAACTGACAAATGGAAAATGGGGCATGGAATTTTAAGCCCTCTGCCTTGACACTCTCTATTCATGTGACCACATTCTGTGGACTGATGAGTATTATTTCCCAGTCATAAAAGGAAAGAACACAAAGCGGATGATGCATTTCGCTCACTGGTCCCAAGGTGACGGTACTCCAGCAGCCCCAGGAGAGAATCTGCAGTCTCATCTCTATTTGCAGATGAGTGTGCCTCCCAAGAAACTGTCCCAATCAATTGTGAAGCTGAAATAAATCATGTGGCCACCTCAGTGAGGTTCTTGATTTTCTGCTCTTCCCCAATAAGCCAGTCACAGAGGAATTCAGAGTGAATCTGGAGAAGGCTGGAGGGCCTTTATGATCCCCAGTAAAGCCTGAGGGATTCACCCTCCAAGGCTTCTGAGTATGCTGGGACCACAAGGCCCCGGGCAGTTCCAGAGTCAGTTTCCATCTCTACTTGCCACCTGCCAGGTGTGAGGATTATTACTCAGAGACAGTGAGAAGGAAAGCCATATCCACAGGGACAGTACCGAGGAGACAGTGCCTGAGTGTGTGTTGTCATAGCTCTATCACATCAAAGGCCTCCTCATGCATAAAGACCTCACTGTGTTTGCATAGCACCTGTGTTACAATCATGAGTGCTTTATACAGGATTAGCTGCCTCAGTCTTCTGAAGAGGTAAAGGGTTTCATGCACCAAGTTCATTTATAAATAAGGACACAAAGAACCACAGAGGGACAAGCGTAACAGGCACTATAAGTTCAAATCAGAGAGGTGGCACAACATCAGTGAAGATGCAGAAACTAAGGAATGGAGAAATTCAGTGATTCTCTCACCATCACACAGCATAGAGCAGATAGAGTGATATACTGTATTTCTGTCTCTTTCCTCCAATGTCCTAAAAGCCAGAGGCTAAGAAAAGACAGAAAGGGCAAACCTGTGACTGTGCCAAAGTGAAAGAAAGAGAGATGTAAGTGGCGTTTTGGGGGGTTCCAGACAACTACCTCCTGTAATCCTTCCTACACTTGCAGGTCCGTGTGAACTATCTCACTGTTTCAACAAAAAGTTCCACGGCACAATTTAAATAGGTGTTTTTTTCCTTTCTTAAATAGGTGACAGTGTAGTACAGATAAGGTAAGTGATATACAAGCATAAATAGGCTTAATTATTCACAAAAACCTTGATGTGAGTTGAACTAAAAAAAAAACCATGATCTGAAAATTGTACCTAACTTTTGGCAAAGTCTTTTCACCTATCTTAAAATGAACAAGGTTAAAAATTTAGACTATAGGCCGGGCACGGTGGCTCACGCCTGTAATCCCAGTACTTTGGGAGGCTGAAGTGGGAGGATTGCTCAAGCCCAGGAGTTCAAGACCAGCCTGAGCAACATAGCAAGATCTCATCTCTACAAAAATAAAAAATTTAGACTATAAACTGCTTATATGTTTTCATATGTAGTAGTGAAGAAAGCATGGGTTCTGGAATCAGAAAAAAATAAGTGAGAATTACAACTCCTCACTTGTTCTGAAAACTTGAAAAATATCACTTAACTTCTCTATACCTCTATTCCCTTGTCCATAAAATAAGGATAATAATTTCATAGCATTATTAACAGGATTAAATTAAATGATTGCTAGTAAGCACCAGGCACACTTGGCTGACTACCATGCCGGAGGTGCTCGATAATGCTCCTACTCCATTCCCCTCAACACCTGACAGCCTTAAGTAGTAAAGTGGCACATCCAGAAAAGACTGAAGGAGCTAGAATGGGAGGGAACGTGACCAATGACCACCAGCGTTTTTTCCAAACCGAGAAATCTAAGTGGGCTGTCGGCACATTTTTCATGAAAACACTTCATCATGAGTATATTTCCCACACAACCTCTCTAAATTCTTTCCCTGCACTAATGATAGTTAAAGTCCCAGTCTAGCCCCACAATAAGATACTGTGTTCTCATTGATCTTCACCAACTTTACCAGTAGAAACGAGGAGAATGAATTTTTCATACCACTTTCTCCAGCAGGCCTGGTTCAGGTGTCTGAGATAAGAGTTAGGCAAAGGGGTCCCAAATTTCAGAAAGCTCAGCCTTACCCAGCTTTAGGGATGTTCTTCTATGGGGCCTTCCTTATCTTAAGATGCGTTTAATTAATGTACCCTTTTAAGAATAGAGATCTTTTCCTATCCTTAAAAAAGTGGATTGCCTGAGCCCGCGGGTTCGAGACCCACCTGGGCAACTTGGTGAGACTTCATCTCTACAATAAATCAAAAATTAGTCGGGCGTGGTAGTGTGTGCCTGTAGTTCCAGCTACTTGGAAGGCTGAGGCGGAAGGATCGCCGGAGCCCAGGAGGTCGAGGCTGTGGTGGCCGGGAGCAGCCACTCCCCTCCAGTCTGGGCGACGGAGTGAGACTCTAACTCAAAAAAAAAAAAAAAGGAAACTAAAGTTAATTACTGACCTGGCATGGTAGCTCACTTCTGTAATCCCAGCACTTTGGGAGGCTGGGGTAGAAGGATTGCTTTAGCCCAGGAGTTCAAGACCAACCTGGGACCTCACAAGACCTCGCCTCTACCTATATTTTAATAATAATAATAATAAGTTAAAAAATAAAGTTAATTACTGACCTGTGAAAGGTCAGTTGTCTATCCTCATTCTGTCCATGTTGTTTATTTACATGAATTACTTTCTCCTGTGTGCCTGACCAAGAAAATCAAGTGTCTCTACATGAATCCCAAGAATAAATATCCTCATTCCAGCCCTTTAGCTTCTTCCATTAAAGAATTACGGGGACCTAGTCCAGAGGAACTGGGGAAAAAAGTCAGGAAATCGGAGCCACTGTATTGCCAGAAATGCATGCTCTGATGGGAGAAGATAGTGAGGAGTCTATCTGTGCCAAATCACACACTGAAAAGCAGCTATCTGAGATCTGAGGAAACTTGCACCTGCTAAAAAGACCTAGCAGCCTGTTGAAAAAAAAAATTATTTGGATATCAGAACCGTTACACCTAACTTTGTGTGTGACTCAGAACAAGTCAGTTAACCTCTTTGCACCTCATATTCTCATCTGTACAACAAGTTCATGTTAGATTATCTCTAAATTTCCTTCAGCACCATCAAGCTATAGGTGTTATCCCAGCAAGAAAGAGAAGGAAGCAGCCATAGGACAAAGAAGATCAAATTTGACAGATTCCTAAGATTTAGGAAGCACAGATTCCTGCCTAGCTGATTCCTTTATGTGACCCGATAAGGATAAAATCGAAAGGGAACTAAATGAAATACACTCATGATTAACAAAGAGGATTGAAAGTCATGGCTAACCTCACACCTACCTTGCATCGCCTCCAGCTCACCTCCCCCGGGACACTCCTCCTCCTCTTTAATGCCTCATCATGATTCTCAAAAACTGTGATCACTCAAGGTTGAAGCTTTTAATCTCCCATGTATAAAAGGATATGCAAATAGAGTTCAGTTTCCTGTTGAGTCTCAGCCAAGGTCTTAGCCTGGCAGTTCTGGGAAAAGAGCCAAAGACCTCATATTTCTTGGCTGTTAACATTCTCCCATCTGTGCTCAAGTCAGCAGCCTAGGCTTCGGGCTGTGGTTTGTCTTTAGTCTTACACTTTGCCAAGTTTTCTAAAGGAACTCTTTAGAATGTTCCTGCAAGAAAGTAAGATACAGCTGGCTTTCAAGTAACCAGACAGAGGATTATCTGGTT